TCTTGGTGGTATCAGTTTCTTCTACACAAGAAACCTTTGCATCTCATACAATGCTCAAAAGATGCATTTTCTTGAGTACCTCCCCTGGGGGATACCAGATCACACACACACGCACACACACACACACACACACACACGGTGTGTGTGTGTGTGTGTGTGTGTGACGGTTGAGAGGCGGGACCAAAGAGCCGGAGCTCAACCCCCGCAAGCACAATTAGGTGAGTACACACACACACACACACACACACACACACACACACACACACACACACACACACACACACACACACACACGGGGCTAGAAAGGCGGGGTCCAAGAGCTAATAGCTCAATTCTGCAGACACACATAGTAAACACACACACACCCACTAGGAGTGCAAAAGGAACAAACTTTGTCCCCCACAGACAATGTCATATAAACCAATAAACTGAAGTATTAAATAGAGTGTTGATAGCTGCACATTGCAACACGAAAGACGATAGAGCTGCATCACAGCATTTTCGGAACACCCTGTACTGAATACCGATTGCACAAGTGGCCATTTATGCTCAACTAAGCACATGCAATGCTAGGCGACGGACCTCGAAGTTGATCTGGTACCAGTAAAGGAAATCTTTTAGCATTCGCCGCTGTACTTCCGTGTTTACCATGCTGATGAGTATTCTTTGGGTATACAGTGCTGGGCTATAAGTATGCAAGAGTCAAAGGAAGTGATGATTTACCTCCTTGTGGGAGCTGGGAAATGCAATAGTGGTTTAATTCCCGGTGGAAATTGGCGAAGCCATATGAGAATTGACAGATTTTATTTATTGAGGAAAACACAGTTCTTTTGGACTGGACGGTAGAGCGACGGTCTCACTTCATGCAGGTCGGTGTTCAATTCCCGACCGTTCAAGTGGTTGGGCACCATTCCTTCCCCTCCGTCCCATCCCAAAATCCTTATCCTGACCCCTTCCCAGTGCTATATAGTTGTAATGGCTTGGCACTTTCCCCCCTGATAGTTCTTTTTTCTTTGGCACACCAATTCGATATCCAGCATGAAAGAGCAGCTGTAGGGAAGATATATAATCCTTAATCAGGGAGGATACAACACCTGGTGGGGTATATTAAGTACTGAATTAAGCAAAATAGAACAATTCGTAGGCGCTGTAATACTGAGCTATGTAGAATACAGCAACTCATATACTCATATTCAGGGTTCGAATCCCTAGCGGGACAGAAATGGTAAGGCGCATTTCCTATCACCTAATGCATCGGTTCGCCAAGCAGCAAGTAGGTACCCAAGAGTTAGCTTGTTGTAGAGCTGCATCCTGGGGATGGGGGGGGAGGGGGGTTAACATGAAATTAAGCCTAATGTGTACATCATCCCATCTCCCTGTTTTAGTAGCACATACAGTAACAATGAGGACCATGATACATATACCGACGTTTCAACGCAATTAGAAAGTAGAAATCAGTACTATTAAATTTGGATAAACCGGAAAAGGTTTTGTATTTACAACTTTGTTGCAATGACAACCTAACCTAACCTTCCTAGGCCTAATACACGCTATCTGAGGCCTAATATAGTACATGTGTGTGTGCTATACAAGGCCCTGGAATATTTAAATGTGTTTTTAGCTTTGTTTTTATGACTCTCTAAAGTGAATAGTACCAAATTCTACTATCCAATTGCTTAGTACGTCAATGTTTGTACTATGGTGTACATAGTTACAAAAATTACTATCTAAACAGGAGGATGGGTTGGTATAAACCCGGCAAACACACACCGAAACTACGACGTTGGTACAACGTTCGAACAAGTTTTAACACCTCCTAACCAGTTATAACAACCAATATAGCAAGTTGTAACAACGTTCAAAATACGTCATAAAACACGTATACCAAGATGTAACAACTTTATTACAAGTTGTAACAAGAGGAAATTAGAGATAGTTTCGGTTTGTGTTTCCAGGGAAGACACTTTGGCTGCCCGTTCCACGACACAGCGAATTATTATTATCCTGAATAAAGCATTTCAAATTGGCTTTGATCATGTAAGAAGGATAAAGTAGATCTTTCGCGCACTAAGTCTTAGTCATGATTAAATGACATAATCCTGACTCTGGTAGGACAAATTCAGCTCATAGGTACTACAATAAACTATTAGATAAGTTAGAGAAGCTCACGGACTCTCTAATCCTGATATAGGCTTGACAGAACACTTCTTGAACACTGTTCTACCTGTTTCAGGATTATACAGGAACTCCAGGGGGATATAATCCTAATTCAGAGTCGAACAGCAGCTAAGTTCTAAAATTCAGACTCTGGAGTAAAAGTGTAGGTTATGGGTGCAATAATCCTGATTCAAACACGATAGATCAGCACCTGCGCTCAATAATCCTTATTCAGCAAAATTGCAACTTCCGGTGCAATTTAATCCAGATTCAGGTAGGATAGAGTAGCTCATATTTGCTATAATTCTTACTTAGGATGGAGCTTCTCCTCTGTATCAGAATCCTGACTCACAGAGTGAATGCCTGGCATCTATAATCCTGACTCTGGCATGTTAGAGCAGCCATTAGTAGCAATAATCCTGAATAAAACAGCAGGATAGAGAAGCTCCTGTATTGTAATGCCGAATTAACCAATTAACAGGTGCTATCATCTTAACTCAGGCAGGACAGGGTTAAAAAAAAGACCTGTTTCGGGCACGATATTCCTGATTCAGCATGATAGAGCAGCTTCTGAGAGTTGTTATCCAATCCCAGGCAGAACACAATGTGCTCTTCAGTCCTGACTCAGAGAGCTTAGTTCCTAGTTTCTAACTTAGTTCCTGTTATCACCAACAAACTTTACTTTTCCCTAAACGACTTGTGCAACGAAAGTAAGAATTTAAAGTAAACATTTACTACCATGATAAATGTACTTAGGGATGAATTGATGACTTACTTGACCTACAGGAAGAGTTGGATTAAACTCTCCTGATACCTTATAGTGTGTTTCAGGGAAGGTTTAAAGTTTCAGTTGCGTACCAGTTCGGTATTCACGGTACTTCCGTACTGTGAGCATCCTGGCTTGGTTAACAGAAGTGAGGAAACGAGCTCAAGATTCTGAAGGCACTTCCTCTCTGGATTTCGACGTTCAGGAGCTAAAACAGAAAAGTGGCTGCTGCTCTAGAGTGTCTTGTTTGCCTAATGAGTTGAGATTCCAGTTCCTGTAAGAAATTAAATGCTTATTTCCCCGGAAGCATGGCTCTCTCCACCTTTTTTCTCTAGGATATTAGTGCTTATTGGTGGTCTGGGCCTTCCTGGAAAATTGTAACTCTCACTATTTTCAGATAATTGTACTTTAGATTGATAACAACCAATGTAAATGTGGAATTTTAGTCCCAAAATACTTGTTTACTATCCCTTCAAGAAAGTAAATGAATGACATGTTAAGGAATATTTTATTATTTACAAAGATTACAGTGATTATTTAGACATTCATGTTCATTTATTTTGTGTAAATACTTTCCATTGACTATATATCTCGGCTAGCAACTTGGAAGTAACTAATACCAATGTTTGCAGCATGACCAGGCAAGCAAAAATCGTCTCTCTCTTGTCCTACATTCCCATTGGTCGGCTTGGACAGTAGATGTGGTGTGAACTAGTATGTTGACCAATCCACACACTAGAAAATAAAGGGACGACGACGTTTCGATCCATACTGGACCGAAGGTCGTCGTCCCTTCATTTTCTAGTGTGGATTGGTCAACATACTTCAGCCACGTTATTGTGACTCATCGCCTGTATGTGAAGTAGTATTTCTGAATTGGTTGGAAGCACCTAAATGCTAGTTGGCTGTAAATAATTAGATAAGTGTTTGATGTGAAGTACTTCTGCTCTGTCTAATCTCCTATTGTTACTGCACAGGTCGAATTTTTGTCGGTGATGAACAGAAACTCTTTGGTGATGATCTATTTGTGTGGCGAAATTGTGTGATTTTTTAATTAAACTTTTAATGTTAATGCATTCCATCACACCCTGAAGGAAATGTTGTCCTGCTAATATATTAAGAACATTATGTAGTGTATAGTGTAAAATGCGGAAAAAAAACTTTGCTAATAAAAGGAGAAATGAAAGTGCAATGCATACATTCACTTGGCAATCTTTAATGACTAGTGCAAAACACCTTACAACGTTCACGTATATGACACGTCCAGCTCCCTACCTCACGCAGTAAGAAAATATCATAATGCCTCGAGGGAACACAAGCTTAACATCCCACACGCGTATAGAAATCACAATTAACAGAGCAACAAACCGACTAACACCGAAACACTAATGGTGATGGTGAGGGAAAAAGGGGGAGGGGGTGGGTAGGGGATGAGTGGGAAGGGATGTAATTGATGCAAAGATAAACTCTTGGCCACTATAATGTATTGGAAATAACAAATAATGCTGCTGCTTTTTCTTTGTTAGGGGGAGGATTCCGGGGAGAGGAGGAGGGATTCGGGGGAAGAAGGAAGGCTACGGGAAGAGATTGGAGGGGATAGCTGTGCTAGATATTAAAAAAATAATGTGTAAATGAAGGGCCAGAATTATTGACTGTTTTGGTCTAGCAATGAAATTCAATGCCATCTTTGAGAGCCTTGTGAGAGCCGAGCCTTGTGAGAGCCGAGCCTTGTGAGAGCCGAGCCTTGTGAGAGCCGAGCCTTGTGAGAGCCGAGCCTTGTGAGAGCCGAGCCTTGTGAGAGCCGAGCCTTGTGAGAGCCGAACCTTGTGAGAGCCGAGCCTTGTGAGAGCCGAGAGCCGTCGTCTGAAATCTGTTTACCATCATCTGTGTGACCCGATCGCCACGTTTCCCATCTCAATCACAATTTGTCTCGTTTTGTTTTTGGTTTTTATGTTGGTGCTGTAAAACCCGAATACATTCTTGTTTATTGATAAAACACCCGAACGGGAAATATATATATATATATATATATATATATATATATATATATATATATATATATATATATATATATATATATATATATATATAATGTAAATAATATGGCTCATCATTGCTTCTCACTAACACACCAGTCTCACCATCATCTTTTAGCCTTACAAAACACTAAATAATCCTAGCCTAAGCCTATATGCTAATTCAGCTGGATATTCTTCCTTTCCACATAATTATCACAAAGCATTTACAACATAAAAAGCGTTACACCCTGTTCATGCCTTGACGGCTTGGTCAAGAAAAGTGTAAATTCTGTGGGGGATTTTTGTTCTACAGATTTAGAGGAGAGTGACACAGGGAAGGTTCAGGGTGATAAATGATTTAGGGTGAGGCAAGGAAGGTTTAGGATGACAGGTGATGGGGGGCGAGGCAGGAAGGGTTTAAGATAACGTGTGATAGGGGATGAGGCAGGTTGGGTTTAAGATGACGTGTAATGGAGGGTGAGGTAGAGAGGAATCAAGATGATACATGATGGAGGAGGATAATGGATCTAGAAGCTCAGGGATGTGGAGAGAAAGTTCAGGAGGGCTGTTAGAAGGGTCTTATAATACTTTCTTTCTAAGGGGTCCTTCTTCTAAGAAGGGTCTTCTTCTTGTTCAAGCGGAGGGAAGGTCCAGGTGGGGCTGGCGGAGGGAAGTGTTAAGAGGGCTGCTGAATGGAAGGGGCAAGTATGATAGGAGGGTAGGGAGTGGGAAAGGTCAGTATTGCTGAGGGAAGAAAGTGTTAGTGGGGCTGGTGGAGAGAAGAATGGGTTCAGGCTTACAGAATTAAACAAGATGGCTGATGAATGTAAGAATGGGTTTAAGATGGATGATTAATGTAAATATTTTATTTTCACCGTCATGGCTAGTTTCCAAGTCCTCCTGAGAAGAGAGAATATAGACAGTGATGTATAGGAAAATGTACAGGTTGGCAGACGTATGTACAGATATTTAGAGGAAGATAATATACCGAAACGAATTTAAAGAAAATAGATTTAGAACCAGGGGGTGGGGGGGGGTGAGGTGGTAGAAAGACACTTAAGAAATCTAATCACATTGAGTTATGTACACATTTATCACATAAATCATTAAATCTATACATATTTTGAGAATTTCTCCAGTGTATTACATGATTAATGATATGCGTTTTTTTTAAATGAAGATGATCATAAAAAACTGGGTATGTAAAGTTCTCAAAACATTGCTGAATACAGAATATATTTGGTCCCTCACATTCGTTCATGATACAGTTCATTCAGAAACTGAAACAATTCAGCCATTCGTCATTCAAACAAAAGCCGATGTATACGATTATAATGGTAATGCAATTGAGATCACTTCATCAACTGAAATATTTTACGACATTTCCCTTAATAGCAAGAACGAGTGAAGCAGACATTGAGATCTCTTCACGGGTCACATGTCTTTTATTCTTTAATACTTTGTCACGATTTATTACTGCTCAATGTTAATGTCTGAGTTGTTCTTTCTTAAGGTCTGGTTGAAACTGTCTGGTCAGTATTTCAAACAATTCAATACTCGACGAAAGTTTCAGAGTTGCAACAAGTTTCTTGCCAGATGAGAAGTTTTCTTGGAGGAACTCGAAAAGACAGTGTCAGTCCCTCTTTAAAGGGCCAAGGAGCACAGCAGCACAAGCTGAGCACATTGTTTTGGACTGAAATACACACTAGCGACCATCACGATTCCAGTATCGGAAGATTCCGACACTTTTCAGCACTGCAACTTGTCTGGTCTCGTCAGAACACGAAGACTGTTTATAATAAGTAGGGGCTAAATTGAGCAGAGAGCACCTCACACCTGAGCCTCTTGGTACCTTACGATACCGGCGGAAACGCCGTACCAGCGACATTTTACACTTGGGTCACATTGCGACGCTTGCGGTCAGCCTGTGGAAGGTGCGGCTGGTGAGGTGCGGGCGTTGGGGCAGCGGTGCGGGCGCGGGACAGGAGATGGCCTGTTAGGGGCTCGTCCCAGGCGGCAGCATAGCTAGTGTAGTCTGGTCCTGGGACGGCACAATGGCATGGAGCTTCCTCGTGCGGGCAGGGCACGTAGACCGGGGTCTCGATGCCGCCACCAGTAGACACAGGCCGGTAGTCCGTCACGGTAACATCTGGGAAGGGTGCATGGAGAGGAGCGCCCTCCACCTGGTAGGCAACCACGCCGTCTTCAGCAGCTCCGCTGTGCACAGATAGTCGACGCTCATGTTCTTGCAGGAGAGTCGTCGCACCCCAGGACTGGACGGGAGAAAGCGGTCTGCCATCCCTTGTTGGCTCCGGTGCGTCTTTCACAACACTGTCCAGTGACTCGTGGCTGCCGCCGCCCTCCTCGAGACCCAGAGACCTCGACTTGACCATAACACTGCTGCTGCCTTGAACTTTCTCCACGTCCTTCTCGTGTTTCTGTTTACGTCTCTTGCTGGTGTGGCAGTAGCAATAGGAGACTAGCACTGCTACCACTATCAGGAACCCACCGATGCTTCCTAAGATCACCGCCACATCTTCTATCTGGAGCTCTGTCATGCCCACTGGCCGGCCAGATCCCAGTTCTGACGGCATCGTGTAATTTCCTGAAACGAGAGAAATATTGCATGGAAATTCATTTACATAGAGACTCTGTTTTAAACACCATCACTGGCTTCCCAATTTAGACTGAGCACGAGTGCTTAATTGCAAGAATGTTAAATTTCCCTACAAGTTTCATGAAAATTATATTGTGTTCCAGCCGAGATAAAGCAGGAGAGAGAGAGAGAGAGTGGAGAGTTACCAGAGGTGGTGAGCGCCGGCTGCGTCCTGGTGGTGATCTCGTAGGTGGTAGGAGGTCGTGGCACCCAGAGGGCGGCGATGTTGCCCACTCCACCGATGTTGCCGGCCTCGTCCACGGCACGGACCGTCACGTACCACAGCTGTTACAGTCAGGGACACACGCACACAGTCAAACAGCGAACACGTTTGATATTCAAAATTTTTGTGACATATGCTCAAAGTATTATTCTTGATTACGACATGAATGAATACAATATCGAATGTTCTTAATCTATAAACAATAATTTGAATAAAAAATACCTATCATAACTTAATTTATAATAACATTTGAACTCAATTTATAAATTTACTTGCATTTATTAAAGTTACACAAGTCTCATATATGAATATAATTAGACGCTTATCTATATAATATGCAGTATAAATTTGTGTAAATGACATGACTCTCACTTCATATAGGCTAAGAAATACTGAAAACCAATGAGATACATAAGGTCAGTGAGTGCTACGAACCTCCTCGTATCTCGTGAAGTGGAGACTAGTGGTGTGAAGGGTGCCTGCTGGAAGCGGCTGAGGCAGGCCAGTCAGACGGTCACCCTGGAAGGACCTTGCCTCCCTCCAGAAGGGCGCCACCACCGCCTCGTAATGGTGGGCGCGGTCTACATCCCAGTCATCCCCCGGGGCCGTCCAACGAAGGCTTATCTCGTGCACGGTGTCGTTCACCTCCACCCGGAGGTCCAGAATGCGTGACGGAGGGACGTTATCCCGCAGAATAGGAGGGGACACAACCTCCAGCACGCCCCACATGACGTACCGCAGGAAGGGCGGGGCACGGCGAGTGTGAACGTGAGGGAGGACAGAGCCGCAACACGACTGCTCGTTGTTCCAGTTGTCGTAGCTGTGTTGGTAGTAGTGGGGCAGATGGGACGATGGACTCTTGTGGTGACGCGTTGGGGGCCCCTTAGCTATCACCGCCAGACCGCTGTTGTAGTCGATGTCAGCACTCAGGAGGTACCGACCGGGGTTACCAGGGAGAGGCGGCAGGTAGCGGGAATATATGCCATCGCCCTTGGTGATATCTGGATCTGGTAGTGGGTAAATAGATTAGTACTAAGTTCAAGGAAGTTGCACGATAAAACTACATGTTCTGCAATACAGAGAAATATAGAAATGCAAAAAAATCCATTCCATTCATTCATTGTAGTTTATTGCCCATAATATATATATATATATATATATATATATATATATATATATATATATATATATATATATATATATATATATATATATATATATATTATAGCTGATTGGTCAGCTATATTGGCTATATAAAATAACAGCTAACCTCCAATGCCGTTGTCCCAGAGATCTAAGAAGATAGGTTGGTAGTTGCTGCCAGTGGCGTTGGTGCCGAGCCTCTGGAGTTTGGCCACAACACGGGCGTCCATGATGGGTGCCACGCCATCCTTCACCTCCGCATAGATCACTACTGGCATCGACGGGTCGGAGGAGTTGACGGGCCGGGAGCCAGAGCTCGTCCAGAGTAACACCTGTAGACCCATCGACGAGTTTCTCTTGGCCGTCACCTGCACGTAGAGTCCCTGGTGGGAGTCGGCGCGGTTCTCCACACTATACGTCCATAAGCCACGCTGTCAACACAGTTAAAGTGGTAAAGATTTTGCTTAAACAAAATTCAGTTATCTGGTTGTCATGTCTTGCAAGGAGCTGGAGATGCAGCACCTGGTTATGAAGCTCATTGCATATGCTAAATTTAGACTGATTAAGGAATATAAAAAATTATCATTCTACTTACCTCGGCTTTCTCTAGACTGATGAAGATCATATTGACATCACCATCTTCCTCCTGCACATTCACGGATTCGATCATATGCCCTGAGGGAGCTGTGAGCTGGATAGCGTTACCCACGTGATTCAGATCGTAGTAGTACACAGAGAAGCGAGCGTTTGGGCCCAAAGAGTCATCGAGAGCGAAGGATCCTGCAGACATGGAGGCGATACCCCCAGGGTAGGCAGCGTTGTGGACTAGCACCGGGGATCCGGCTGCCGAGGGCGGAGCATTGTGTTGCACGCTAGCCAACAGGGCGTCCATTAGCGCCACCATCATCTTCACCTTCGAGTCGTTACCGACACCTTCGTCCATGACGGTGTGTATGGAGCCTTTGGCTGCCTCTACCAGAGACTCGAGGCCGTGAGAAGTGTCGGCGGCACCCCGGCGCTCGGTCAGTGGGTACAGCACTGCTTCGACCTTCAAAAGCCTCTGCTCTGTCAAGCTTGTCATCTCATTTAAATCCCTCTGAGGCGTCTGTCCTGATCCTGTAGTGATGAGGATCAGGGTGGAGCCGTCGGCGTTCTTACCATCGGCGTCTAGAACCCTCAGCGCCTCCTGCATGCCACAAAGAATGCACTTCTGACTCTCAGGAACGGGTGACGGGTTGCGGGGCAGCGATGACCCTACACGCTGCCTCATGTCGGAGTCTTCGCTCTCAATAAAGGTGAGTGGGGCGACGGTCCTCGCTACGGAATTAAAGGTCACCACGCCCACGTGAGCACCGTCAGGCACGTCGTACACCACCACACGTCGCATCGCCTTGCGTAGGAACTCCCAGCGCCGCTACGTGGGGAAACACAGTGAAGCATTAAACACAACTCTAAACATTGGTTTACTTAGAAAAATGTCTCCTACTGATTTTTCTCATTGATACAACACGTTAATGTGATTTATTTGTGCATTGATTTACTTCATAATGTTCCTTGACACGATGTTAATGTGAACTTTATATAGCCCTCCAAAATATGAACACTACTTGGCTATGGCTAACAAGGAAACAGTCACAAGAAACTGGGAATAACACTGCGGAAGCATCATAAACAAAATGATGATGACATCCCTAGACCATAAAACAGGTGTAACTGAAGTTCCACACCAAGGAATTCCAATTGAGGGCGATCTCTTTATTACTGAAGAGTGTGTGTGGAAGACTGACCTGCAGGTTCATGGTGGCGGTGTCCTCGATGACGAAGATATAGCGAGGGTTCGCCTGCTGTACGAACCTCAGCAGGGGTTCCAGGCCTCGACTTCCATTGCTGGCGGAGTTTCTGTACGGGAAAACAGCCAGAGGCTTACCGTCAGTTCCTGCGTATTTCTGTTATTTCTATAGGTTATGATAAAGTAAGTGCACTTGAAACATTTGATTAACTGTGAGTCACAGTTAAAACTAGTTGGTTATGAGTTGTACCTAATAGCCAGAACGCAGTACTCTGCTTACTATACAAGGCCCGATTTGCCTAATAAGCCAAATTTTCCTAAATTTATATATTTTCGATTTTTTTCAAATGAAATAATAGTTATCCTTTTCATTATGTATGAGTTAAGTTCTTTTAATTTGAGTTCAAACTAACGTAGACATATGGCCGAGCCTAACCTATCTTAACCTAACCTAAACTATCTTAACCTAACCTAACCTATCTTAACCTAACCTAAACTATCTTAACCTAACCTAACCTATCTTAACCTAACCTAAACTATCTTAACCTAACCTAACCTATCTTAACCTAACCTAAACTATCTTAACCTAACCTAACCTATCTTAACCTAACCTAAACTAACATAACTAAGTCAATAATTTATGTTCTTAACGTAATATAATAATAGTTCAAATAAATCAATAGCAAACAATATTTTGAAAATAAAGGAAATCACTTAGGCACCGATTTGCCTAATAGGCAAAGAACATATTAGTGTATGTGTGAGTGTTCAAAATAAAAGCTTAACTTCCCTGTCACTTAAGACAACGACAAATTCAATATACATACACTGTTATAAATTAATTTTTGTCTTAAATTTTGCGTAGAAATAATGCTGCGATTTGGAGCTGTAAAGGTGTTAGGTAAGCGCTTATGTTGCATTATATTAGCTGAACAGAAGGGATTATATGGTATTATCAGCGTGTCTCCTCTCTCTCTCTCTCTCTCTCTCTCTCTCTCTCTCTCTCTCTCTCTCTCTCTCTCTCTCTCTCTCTCTCTCTCTCTCTCTCTCTCTCTCTCTCTCTCTCTCTCTCTTATTATTTCCTACGTGCCTGTCACTACTCGTATTATATTGACAAATAATTTTCACCTATTTCCCACTTACATTCCATATACTATTTTTGACAGCTAAAGCAAGTCAAGTCTTTTTTTTTTGCGAGTTTCAAAATGTTTCCGTAATGGAAAAGATTAAGCGCATGTAACAGAGTGGAAAAGATCAAGCGAGTATAACACAAGCCCATCATAGCTGGGTCAAACGTCAGAAACGTGTGAAACTAGCTCTATGTAACATTAATGGTAACTCATCCGTTGCGTCTGAACTTGGCTTCGGACATCTACATGAAATAATTCATACAGAATGCATAACTGAAATATATTTTAAAGGGGTGGATGGGAGAGGGGGGTGTGTGTGTATATATATATATATATATATATATATATATATATATATATATATATATATATATATATATATATATATATATATATATATATATATATATATATATAATTTGGTCTCCATTAGGTAAGTATACGTATTAACCACGCTTTGTGGTTTGTAATACCGTGTTAAAACACGTCTATAATAATATAGCAGAAGGTCAATATAGCAGAAGGTTAGTATAGCAGGTCAATATAGCAGAAGGTCAGTATAGCAGAAGGTCAATATAGCAGGTCAATATAGAAGGACAATATAGCAGAAGGTCTATATAGCACACGGACAACGTTAAACGCAGTTCAACTAAGCTTTCACTACTACTTCCTTGTATTAAACGAAGGTCTTAGGCTATGTCGTGGTCTAGCTCCTGAGTCCTGCAATTAGGGTTTAATATTTTTGGTCAATACAACCCATTCTCCTATTTAGGTATTTTTTTTAAACTATGTGCACCATAGCACAAATATTGATGTCCTAAGCAATTAGTGGAATTTGGTACTATTCACAAGAGGCCGAAAAATGAAGCTAAAAAAAACATAAATATTCCTAGGCCTAGTATAGCACACATATGTACTATATTAGGCCTCAGATAGCATATATTAGGCATAGGAAAGTTAGGATACTTGTTTTTTGTTATGAGTAGTTATGATTGAGGCATTCGTAACAAGTCTCTAGAATCACTAACACCGTTTTATATTTTATTAAAATACACAAGATTGCAGAGATTCAGAGTCAATGGAGTGGTGGGGGGTTGAACCCTGAATTCTTGAGCACTATATACCTTGTCATTCTTATAATCAACAAGTTTCGGGTTTAGGGGGTACTCCGGGGACCGAGAAATAGCCGTTTGTCGTGAAAATGTGACGACTGGTCTTCATCTGGGCCAAATCGAGTACGACAAATAATATATAATAATATGCAGGCGATGAGTCACAATAACGTGGCTAAAGTATGTTGACCAGACCACACACTAGAAGGTGAAGGGACGACGACGTTTCGGTCCGTCCTGGACCGAAACGTCGTCGTCCCTTCACCTTCTAGTGTGTGGTCTGGTCATCATCAATATAATAATATGTTTCATCACAGTTGCAAATGACAGAACAAAATATTACCTTCTTCCGACTCTTAAACCCTCTCTCTTCCATGTGTTCCTAACCCCCTTCTCCTCCCTGCCATGTCTGTCTGACCCTTTCTCGTCTCTCCCATGTCTTTTCAAGACCCTTCTCCTCCCTCCTATGTTTTTCTAGCCTCTTCTCCTCCCTTCCATGTCTTTCCTAGCCCCTTCTCCCCCCAGCCAGTGTAAGACTCACCTCCCTCCGGAGAAGTCTGGGGTCTGTTGGATGATCTCCCAGACTGAGCGGCCGCCACACAAGGCGTTGTGCTTGGTAGGAGAGACGTGGTTGTGGTTCTTGTCGTTGCAGAAGAGACGAACCTGGGAAAGGAGGAGAAAAATACAGAACACAAGTTACAGAGGAACATTTACAGGGAAAAGCCACAGGAATTCAGTTACAGGTTTGTGGCAACAGGTGGATAGGTGCAAATAGAACTACATATGTTTACCTGAGGGCCACTAACCCTAGTGGCATCGACGAGGACAGGAAGCCGGAGGCTTGTCGATGGTCCCCGACCCCTTTTCCCACATTTGCCTTAATGATCTTTTCCAGGTATATTCTGAAATCCAGCATAATATGTAACTGGGGGTACAGTTACAAGGGGGAGCCGCTGTAAGTGGGTAGTCACACGTTTATGAAAAAAAGTAACAGGATTTCAGATATCGGTCTCTTAATTATCGGCTTACATTCTCAGGTGTACATTAATGGTGCATACATACTGGTCAGTATTTCCCGGTTATATTCATATATCAAGCTTCACTACACATTATCTTGATCATTCTAACATCCTCCCCCTTTGGGACTCTACCTGCTTCCTATGGTCTTCCTGAAAACCAAATATCGTGGATTTATAGGTGTGTCCTCAAGTTCCAGGAGTCTCAATTCCCGAAGAATCTGACGTCTTTGTTATCCATTTTCCATTTTTAACAATAGAAAATGGTGATCATGACATGGGTAACTGTTAAGAATTTTTTTCTAATGCACCTACAGTTATAAACGCAATTTCATCATCGCAAATGACAGGGACCAAGAGCTGGAGCTCTCTAACGGACAGACACACTGGTTGCTTATTATTATATATGAATATTAATGGACATTTACAGGTGCATAATTACCGATATTGTTGGAGGTGCATTATTACAGGTGTACATTTGGAGGTGTATACTGGTGTATGGTTACAGGTGTTCAGTTGCAGGTGTATAACTGCCACGAGAAAGATACATTAAGCGAGAGAGAGAGAGAGAGAGAGAGAGAGAGAGAGAGAGAGAGAGAGAGAGAGAGAGAGAGAGAGAGAGAGAGAGAGAGAGAGAGACAGAGAGAGAAAGAGAGAGAGAGAGAGAGAGAGAGAGAGAGAGAGAGAGAGAGAGAGAGAGAGAGAGAGAGAGAGAGAGAGAGAGAGAGAGAGAGAGAGAAAAGAAGAGAAAAAGCGAGAGAGAAGGAATAATCGTGAAATTTCCACCTTGCAAGTATATGAAAGAGAGAGAGAGAGAGAAGGACGAGATAAGATGCAAGGTGGCGCCATAAAGCCTCACTAATGGAGGGTGCAGTATACAAGTGAAGGTGGACTTGATGGGGCCATAATGTTGCTAGAGTCCAAAGGAGGCAGACTTGCACCAGATTTGCTGCCCTGAAATATAAAGAAAAGAGAGAGAGAGAGAGAGAGAGAGAGAGAGAGAGAGAGAGAGAGAGAGAGAGAGAGAGAGAGAGAGAGAGAGAGAGAGAGAGAGAGAGAGAGGGTGAAAGGGGGGAGGAGCTGGCAGCTGTACTGCTTTGTGGGTGGTGTGATCAGTGGGCCGATGCGACCAGTCGAAATCCAGCTAGTGCTTATATAAGGGGTGTTATGATTGGCCCACAGCTGGCATAAAAAAAAAAGTGTAGCACTTTGAAAGCCAGTCGAGCAAGGCTTTCATGCTTCAAGTTAACATAAGACTAGTAGGCCGCCCCCTGCAAAGCTCGAACGTAAATTTTAGCCCCTTAACAAACTCTCAAGCACAGTCAGTGATAATCTTTATGGTGATGCTATACTACCTGGGCAACCTGTCCTCCTACAAAGAGGATTACCTAAGGCTTACCTAAAGCTAAAAAAATGGTCGTATTAGAAAATGGAAGCGGCTCGCGAAAGTGATGTACTGTCCCGTTTTCTGTTTTGGGTCCTCTGGTAGGTTAGGAGAGGCTACTTTAAATTGGCTGTTTTCTTGACGTTGGGAAACCTTAAGAGGACGGGCTGACTTGTGTATTGTTCAACCAACAGAGCATAATTTGGCTCTGTGAAACAAAGCATATCCGCCAGAAGCTAATCAATGACGTTCTACGTATACGGAGGAGCTGGCGTTAAAATATTAAAATAAATAAAATATTATTTACCGGCATTAAAATAACAACGCGAGGCATTGGTGAGAGTTAACTTACAAAACCTCTCCACAAGGTGTTTACAGTCTTCTCTATTTTTCATTAGAGCTGTTTACAAACACGTGAACACCGGTGTTATCAAGGCCATTGTCGATCGTGGGCGACGAGCGGCAGGTGCAGCCGGGACTCCCTCATGCTGGCTCGTCCCGTCTTGAACACGATGACACACAGCTGGTGCAGCCTATTGTGCTAGCCAACCCCTCAACACACTCTATACACCAACGTCGTAACACAAATGATACGTTATGATAGATGCGTGACTCGCGGCACGCGTTACTTCTTTCTGGCTTTCGTTAGTAGCTTATTCACTCGTAACGGTGGGGGAAGGGGGGCGTAAGATGTTGATAAGTCTTGTATGCTTTTGTGTGTGTGTGTATTGACTGGTTGTGTCTGCCGAATCGAGCTGTTAGATCTTGGACCCCGCCTTTCTAATCGACGTATTTTCCTCTATTAGGTCTACTACATATTTATAATACAATATTTATAACACGCGCGCACACACACACACACAGACACACACACACACACACACACACACACACACACACACACACACACACACACACACACACACACACACACACACACACACACACACACACACACACACACACACACACACACACACACACACACACACACACACACACACACACACACACACACACACACACAGGAAGCAGCCCGTAGCAACTAACTCCCAGGTGATTATTTACTACTAGATGAACAGGTGCATCAGAGTGGAAAACTCTGACCATTTGTGTCTGCTTCAGCCAGGAATCGAACCCGTTCCTTAGGACTACGACCCCCGAACGCTGTCCACTCAGCGGCGGGTTGAGTTTTGGCTCTTTGGTCCCGCCTCTCAACCGTCAATCTACTGATGTACAGATTCCTGAGCCTACTGGGCTCTATCATATCTACATTTGAAACTGTGTATGGAGTCAGCCTCCACCACATCACTGCCTAGTGCATTCCATCTGTTAACTACTCTGACACTGAAAAAGTTCGTTCTTAAGTTCGTGTGGCTCATTTGGGCACTCAGTTTCCACCTGTGTCCCCTAGTGCGTGTGCCCCTTGTGTTAAATAACCTGTCTTTATCTACCCCTATTGATTCCCTTGAGACTCTTGAATGTGGTGATCATGTCCCCTCTCACTCTTCTGTCTTGCAACGAAGTGAGGTTTAATTCCCGTAGTCTCTCCTCGTAGCTCGTGTGTGTGTGTGTGTGTGTGTGTGTGTGTGTGTGTGTGTGTGTGTGTGTGTGTGTGTGTGTGTGTGTGTGTGTGTGTGTGTGGCGGTGGGTTGTGAAGGAGAAAGATACAAGAGGTGAAAATGAAGAGAAAGCCAGCAGGGGGGTACAGGTTGAGGTCGTCGCCGTGACGCGGAAGGTACTGTGAGAGTTTATATAGATGCTGTCGTGACTTCGTGGATTCCCAACGCCACACTTCGTCCCAGTGCGCAGGAATCCGAATACATTTCGTAGCGGAGATATCGGCAGTAGGTGTACTGGCGCGTCATTTAACAAGCTTGTCGTGCGATGGTTCACACTACCGGCCCCACATTTCGACCCAGCGCAGTTCGGTATTCAGTATATATATTGTATATATATATATATATCGAGTGTGTATAAATATATACCCAGACGTCCAGCGTGGTGAGACCGGGAAGGTGGAGGTGTCTAATCCGTTCTCCTAATTTAAAACTTCAACATATAAATAAAGGGGTACTAAAACTTACGATCCCAATCAACCTACTGATAGACAATGTGGTGAGCCAGAGTGGGTCAGCAATAGTCTTACACCTTGAGCTTACCTTACCTTGAGGTTACCTTACCTTACCTTGAGGTGGCACCGGGGTTGACTGTGCCCCTGTGGTGGTTCAGTACTGGTCTGGCGCACCCTATACTCCTTTGTTTCCGAAAGCTGCCCCCCACCCCTTTACATCGAATAGCTTTGTGTAGGCGCTTGACGTTCAACTGATGTGAGCGTCGGGTGGAAGATTCGGTGAGGTGTGTTCCTTACTAAATCAAATCAAAGGCAGCTCTGGGAGAGGTACTTATGGTGGGCAGCTCTGGGTACAAGAAGTACTTACGGTGGGCAGCTCTGGGAAGGAGGTACTTACAGTGGGCAGCTCTGGGAAGGAGAGGTACTTACGGTGGGCAGCTCTGGGAGAGGTACTTATGGTGGGAAGCTCTGGGTACAAGAAGTACTTACGGTGGGCAGCTCTGGGAAGGAGGTACTTACAGTGGGCAGCTCTGGGAAGGAGAGGTACTTACGGTGGGCAGCTCTGGGAGAGGTACTTATGGTGGGGAGCTCTGGGAAGGAAGTACTTACGGTGGGCAGCTCTGGAAAGGAGGTACTTACGGAGGGCAGCTCTGGGAAGGAGATGTACTTACGGTGGGCAGCTCTGGGAAGGAGGTACTTACGGTGGGCAGCTCTGGGAAGGAAGTACTTACGGAGGGCAGCTCTGGAAAGGAGGTACTTACGGAGGGCAGCTCTGGGAAGGAAGTACTTACGGTGGGCAGCTCTGGAAAGGAGGTACTTACGGAGGGCAGCTCTGGGAAGGAGAAGTACTTACGGTGGGCAGCTCTGGGAAGGAGAAGTACTTACGGTGGGCAGCTCTGGGAAGGAGGTACTTACGGTGGGCAGCTCTGGGAAGGAAGTACTTACGGTGGGCAGCTCTGGAAAGGAGGTACTTACGGAGGGCAGCTCTGGGAAGGAAGTACTTACGGTGGGCAGCTCTGAGAAGGAGGTACTTACGGTGGGAAGCTCTGAGAAAGAGGTACTTACGGTGGGCAGCTCTGAGAAAGAGGTACTTACGGTGGGCAGCTCTGGGAAGGAGAGCAGCGAGGTGCTGAGGTGGTTGTTGCTATAAGGCTCGGGCGAGAAGGAGCAACCAGGCTGTGTGGGGTCGCAAGTGGTGCCCTTAATACCGCCGTCAGCACACCCCGTGGCCGCCCACTGGTGGGTGTTGTGGTCACGGAAGGTGGGCGGGTAGAGTGGGTCGTTGTTGTGGCCGCGCTCGTCAAACACTCCCCACCGGAATTTAGCCCACTCCGTCAGCAGCAAACGAGCCACGTGGGCGTGAGAGTCGTTGCTGGCGGCTCGGAGCAGATCGCCGCCCATCTGGATAAAGTCGCCGGCACGGCCGCAGCCCTGACTCTGCTGCGTCCACGGCCTGGCTCCGAAGACCGGGTGAGGCGCCGTGACGCGCACGTGGCCCTCCTTGGGCGAGGACGAGGGCATGAGAGGCGTGAGGAGGGAGCAGGTGAGGGCGTCTGTCCTCCAAGCCCTCGGCAGCGTCACCGTCACCTCTCTCAGGGAGGCTCGGCCCTCCGTTGCCGTCCACATCTGACTCGACAACTCCCGCAGCACACTCTGTGGAAGACAATATTAAGCGTTATCGCACGAAAACAGGTTTTCGTCGGGGGGGGGGGGAATAAGCCCGAAGTTAATGTGACTCTATATAGGGCTTGGGACAGGAGGACTATAGGCACGAGGATATGACAAGGGTGAAGGCACCATGAACAGACATAATAAATCAACATATTCATGAAATTTCTGCAATAAAACTGTTTGCCTGCAAATAAAATAAAAACGATAACCTTTGACATTTTGACAAAAGTCTAACTTAGATATGTATGGTTTAACTTGGGTCTAATTAGATAATATAACAAACTGAAGAAAAAAAAACTTTGGAAGAAAAACTAATTAGAAACACTACATGTAAAGTTATTAGTTCTATAACATCTGGAACTAATCTGCTTGAAACTCATATAACAGGGATCTGTTGACCAGACCACACACTAGAAGGTTAAGGGACGACGACGTTTCGATCCGTCTTGGACCATTCTCAAGTCGATTCGAAACCATTCTCAAGACGGACCGAAACGTCGTCGTCCCTTAACCTTCTAGTGTGTGGTCTGGTCAACATACTTTAGCCACGTTATTGTGACTCACCGCCTGCAACAGGGATCTGACACATTATAAGTACACAGCATATGTAACAGGGAGCTGACACATTATAAGTACACAGCATATGTAACAGGGATCTGACACATTATAAGTACACAGCATATGTAACAGGGATCTGACACATTATAAGTACACAGCATATGTAACAGGGAGCTGACACACTGTTAATACGCAGCTCATCTAGCAGGTATCTGGCGTACTCTGAGCACAATATCTCACATAAGTGTTCCAAATTTGAGAAGAATTAGCTAGGTTGCTCCTCGTCCAGGAATCCCTTTGAGACAATTGTTGCGGAATTATATTACTTGTCCTGCTAGCCATGTTCATAGATTAATTGTTTTAATCAGCCCGGGAGACTTGTTACACAATTATTCACAGCATTATCTCATCAATATATTTATACGTAATACCCATTCTAGAGTATTATTTTCTCGCAACTGGATTGATATTTCTGTTAAGGATGAATTGGCCAGTGATAAGGGTATGCCTGAAAACAGTATTGTGACTGTTAACTGGTTGAGAGAGTACTGTCAGATAAAATGAGATTATTCAACTGTGAAGTGTTGGTGTGGCCACGAGGCCAGGCAGCAAGTGTTGGTGTGGCCACGAGGCCAGGCAGCAAGTGTTGGTGTGGCCACGAGGCCAGGCAGCAAGTGTTGGTGTGGCCACGAGGCCAGGCAGCAAGTGTTGGTGTGGCCACGAGGCCAGGCAGCAAGTGTTGGTGTAGACACGAGGCCAGGCAGCAAGTGTTGGTGTGGCCACGAGGCCAGGCAGCAAGTGTTGGTGTAGACACGAGGCCAGGCAGCAAGTGTTGGTGTAGACACGAGGCCAGGCAGCAAGTGTTGGTGAAGGCACGAGGCCAGGCAGCAAGTGTTGGTGTAGACACGCGAGGCCAGGCAGCAAGTGTTGGTGAAGGCACGAGGCCAGGCAGCAAGTGTTGGTGTAGACACGCGAGGCCAGGCAGCAAGTGTTGGTGTAGACACGCGAGGCCAGGCAGCAAGTGTTGGTGTAGACACGAGGCCAGGCAGCAAGTGTTGGTGTGGCCACGAGGCCAGGCAGCAAGTGTTGGTGTGGCCACGAGGCCAGGCAGCAAGTGTTGGTGTAGACACGCGAGGCCAGGCAGCAAGTGTTGGTGTAGACACGCGAGGCCAGGCAGCAAGTGTTGGTGTAGACACGCGAGGCCAGGCAGCAAGTGTTGGTGTGGCCACGAGGCCAGGCAGCAAGTGTTGGTGAAGGCACGAGGCCAGGCAGCAAGTGTTGGTGTAGACACGCGAGGCCAGGCAGCAAGTGTTGGTGTAGACACGCGAGGCCAGGCAGCGATGAATGCGAAGATGGACACCAAAAATAGGTTTTCAGTATTTGTTTCATACTCACTAATTTTACCGTCGGTCCAACACATCACCTCGCCCTCACAGCGACTTCCTCTTCTCTAGCAACAAAAACTTCCAAAAAGCCGTCTCATGGATGCCTTTGTCGGCATACGAGTCGACGACGGCTGACGTCCATTGAGAGACAAATGATCGAGGTATGATGCAACAGAAATCGCGACAGCGATGAAGAAGGGGGAAGAAAAGGGGAAGAAAGGGTAAGAAACAATCGACCGGCTCCTCCGAAGCATTGTATCAGGTCGCTGGTGGATGGTATGAGCGAGTGCCTTTTGTGGTGTGGACAAAGCCAAGAGCTAAGAGTCACCTTCGACGGGTAGATCCCCACAGGAGAATCGGCCTTGTGCGTCAATGAGACAACGACGAAGCTTGTGGCGTCAGCAAGTAAGTGGTTTACGCAGTTCGGGTTAATGAGTTCGGATTATCATTTAGTCTTAGCCGAATGTGGCGAAGCACAGCTCGAGTAGACGATTTGTTTAAGGCTCTGATGATAAAGCAATTTTTTTCATTAATATATTCAGCCCTTCTCTCCTATTCCACTCAATCATTTCATGTAGACGGAACAGCTATATGCAACTGTCTTAATATTTCCTGGGCAACGATTTCAGACGGTAAGGCAGACCGGATTTCTGAGAAACTATCTCACAGAGTATCAGATCAAGCAAACCAAGCGAGGAGGAGTGAAACTAATGATGTTAACGGAAGCAAAAAATATATATATGTATCTCACGGTTAAAGCCCTCGTCAGTTTGGAACACTTAATGCACGTAAGAGCTCACGGAACTCGTGCCCTCCTTGCTGCCGGAGCAATGATTGGCCCTGGCGATAATGTCTGAGTGCGAGAAGCAGGAGGAGGAGGAAGAAGAGTAGGATTACGAGGCAGGAAGATGTTGGATAAGGATGAGCAGGTGGAGGAGACCATGGAGGAGCGAACACTGGATTATCAGCAGGAGGCCAAGGTGGTGCACGAACTGGAAGCCCCGCAGGAGGAGGCCCAGAAGAACAAGGAGGAGGGAAGAAGGGAAAAGTGGGGCACAAAGATGAGGAGGAGGTACTTCGAGATGGACATAACATACTTCAGATCAACACACACACACACACACACACACAAGGAAAGATATATGAAGACTTA